TTACATAGAGCCTCATCACATAACATCATAACATTGCAGATGGGAGTTTTGTTTGAGTGTATCTCGGAACTTAGCTAAAGAGATTTCATCCTTCTAATAGCAAAAGGACCTCATCAGAAGCAGTTTAGTTCACAATGTGGTCAATTTAACATGGATCCCTACAGACAGTATAATAAGCAAAGCTCTTAAGTATTTTTTTAATATAAATTTATTTATTTATTTGTTTTCGGCCGCATTGGGTCTTCGTTGCTGTGCGCGGGCTTTCTAGTTGCGGCGAGCGGGGGCTACTCTTTGTTGCAGTGTGCAGGCTTCTCATTGCAGTGGCTTCTCTTGTGGAGCACAGGCTCCAGACGTGCGGGCTTCAGTAGTTGTGGCATGTGAGCTCAGTAGTTGTGGTTCGCAGGCTCTAGAGTGCAGGCTCAGTAGTTATGGCACACGGACTTAGTTGCTCTGCAGTATGTGGGATCTTCCCGGACCCGGGCTCAAACCCGTGTCCCTTGCATTGGCAGGCGGATGCTTAACCACTGCGCCACCAGGGAAGCCCAAAGCTCTTAAGTATTAATGAACTTAAATAATTTCCTTTCTTTCCACTTTTGCCTTTGTAAAGTATTGGGCTGGCCAAAAGGTTCGTTCGGTTTTTTCCATAAGATGGCTCTAGTAGCACTTAGCTGTCTTTAACTTCATTCGAAACAATTTTGTTAGATTGTATGTGACAGCTGTCATATCAGTGTGCATTTAAAAAAGAATTATCAAAATTGGTGACTTTTTGTGTAGCCATTTTAATATTGAAGATGGAAGGAAAAAAGCAACATTTTCAGCATATTATGCTTTACTATTTCAAGAAAAGTAAAAATGCATGGAAACACACAAAAAGATTTGTGCAGTGTAGGGAGAAGGTGCTGTGACTGATCGAGCGTGTCAAAAGTGGTTTGAGAAGTTTCATGCTGGAGATTTCTCGCTGGACGATGCTCCACAGTCAGGTAGACCAATTGAAGTTGATAGCGATCAAATCGAGACAGTAATAGAGAACAATCAACATTATACCACGCGGGGAGATAGTCGACATACTCAAAATATCCAAATCAAGCGCTGAAAATCATTTGCACCAGCATGGTTATGTTAATCGCTCTGATGTTTGGGTTCCACATAAGTGAAAAAAACCTTCTTGACTGTATTTCCGCGTGAGATTCTCTCCTTAAAGTAATGAGAACGTTCCATGTTTAAAACAAATTGTGACGGGCAATCAAAAGTGGATACTGTACAACAATGTGGAATGGAAGAGATCGTGGGGCAAGCAAAATGGACCACCACCAACCACACCAAAGGCCGGTATTCATCAAATAAAAGCAGCACTCGACGAAAAGCGTCCAGAATTAGTCAACAGAAAATGCATATTCTTCCATCAGGATAACACAAGACTGCATGTTTCTTTGATGACCAGAAAAAAACTGTTACAGCTTGGCTGGGAAGTTCTGATTCATCCACTGTATTCACCAGACATTGCACCTTCAGATTTCCATTTATTTAGGTCTTTTTTAATTTTAATTCATATAGTTATTTATTTATTTTTGGCTGCATTGGGTCTTCATTGCTGCATGTGGGCTTTCTTTAGTTGCGGTGAGCAGGGGCTACTCTTTGTTGTGGTGCATGGGCTTCTCATCGCGGTGGCTTCTCTTGCTGTGGAGCATGGGCCCTAGGGCATGTGGGCTTCAGAAGTTGCAGCATGTGGGCTCAGTAGTTGTGGCTCGCGGGCTCTGGAGTGCAGGCTCAGTAGTTGTGGCACACGGGGTTAGTTGCTCCGCAGCATGTGGGATCTTCCCAGACAAAGGATCGAACCGGTTTCCCCTGCAATGGCAGGCGGATTCTTAACCACTGCGCCACCAGGGAAGCCCCATTTATTTAGGTCTTTCCAAAATTCTCTTAATGGAAAAAACTTCAATCCCCTGGAAGACTGTAAAAGGCACCTGGAACAGTTCTTTGCTCAAAAAGATAAAAAGTTTTGGGAAGATGGAATTATGAAGTTGCCTAAAAAATGGCAGAAGGTAGTAAAACAAAAGGGTGAATATGTTGTTCAATAAAGTTTTTGGTGAAAATGAAAAATGTGTCCTTTATTTTTACTTAAAAACTAAAGGCACTTTTTGGCCAACACAATATCAGCATATTTATGCTTTTATAGTATTTATTTGCTAAAAATTAACTTTAAACAAAGTTATTTTGGGTTATTTCACAATTGAATTATAGTTCTACTTTAGTTGAGATTTACTTTTGATATTTCTGTATGTAACACAAATAAAAGTCATCCTCCATTTGGTCAAGGTCTAGAATCCAAATGAACTTTAATTAAAAACAATGTTTGGTTAAATCTCTCTCTGCTAATATCATACTCTTAATAATTAAAACTTTTCATAAGGTAAATGCCAACAGATACAGATGTCAATATGAGCAAATAATGGTAGAGTGAAATTAAAACAACACATTTTTATCAAATCCCATATTAAAAAAAAATCCCTTCTACCCTGGCACGTCCCCTATGCAATTATAATAGAAATTTAAGCTTTCATAGCCAGTGATGGAAATCATTAGCCATCAGGGCTTTCAAACTAATGCCGCCAAATGGAGAGATGAGTGGGTGATGCTCTGTGGTCTCATAGTTTTCCTGTAATTCCTGAATATAAAGGACAGGACTTCCCTGGTGGCGCAGTGGTTGAGAATCTGCCTGCCAATGCAGGGGACATGGGTTCAATCCTTGGTCCGGGAAGATCCCACATGCCGCGGAGCAACTAAGCCCATGCGCCACAACTACTGAGCCTGCACTCTAGAGCCCGTGAGCCACAACTACTGAACCCACACGCTGCAACTACTGAAGCCCACATGCCCTAGGGCCCGTGCTCCGCAGCAAGAGGAGCCACCGCAATGAGAAGCCCACACACGGTGATGAAGACCCAATGCAGCCAAAAAAAAAAAAAAGATAAGGAGCGTGCTTAGCTCTGCCCATAGCTAATCCACCTGAATTCTGTGTCTTAACGTTTTTGATCCAACTCAAAGATAAGTTCAGCTGACACTTATGAACAAGAGCCATGTTCAAGAAATCTCTGAGGATAAATTCTGCCTAAAGTCAGTTTTGAGATTGAAATCTGAAGTTTGGATTTTGGAAACATGTCCGACAGAAGCAGTGCCAGTAGGGACCAGTGTCCCCAAGTCAGCCCACAAAAAGCTGTTAATTCAGGAATTTGTGAAGCATAGAACTGTCCATTCTACAGAGCCTGATCACCAACAGTGTTTCCATGAGAAAATTTTCATCATTTTCTGGATTTCAAGTTGGGGATGTTAGGAACTGGTTCTTTTTTTTTTTTTTTTTGCGGTACGCGGGCCTCTCACCGTTGTGGCCTCTCCCGTTGCGGAGCACAGGCTCCGGACGTGCAGGCTCAGCAGCCATGGCTCACGGGCCCAGCTGCTCCGCAGCACGTGGGATCTTCCCGGACCAGGGCACGAACCCACATCCCCTGCATCGGCAGGCGGACTCTCAACCACTGCACCACCAGGGAAGCCCTTGAGTACATCTTTTGATAAACCTGACATTTATCTGCTAAATCTGACAAGACGAGCTAGGTGTGACTAGCACTGACTGAATCAGAAGTGATGAGTAAGTCTCTACAGTAATTTTGCAAGTTTAGCGTTTACATCTGACGGTGAGGCTGACTATATACCAGCAACCTCATAAAAACTGCTGTAACTGCTAGTGGGAAAAAATGTCAGTGGTTTAGGAAACAACTTTCTTTTGAGTTAATCCTAATCTCCCTTGTACTCCAATCAATGTCATTCATCATTTTTGCTTATTTTAGTCAGGGATTTAAACAGAATCCTCCCAAATTGGACAAAGTGCCTTAATTTTCTAAACCTATAGCCAAAACCAAATAGCACTTCTATGAAATCGTCAAGTAAACCAAGGCTTCTCTCTCCCTCCCCCCCGCCCACCCCCCAAACCTAGAAAATTCTCTCTAATAACAAACGCTCCCATCCACACCACCTTCCACAGTAAACCATCAAACGAGAACAGGGGATAGTCTTTGGACCCAATTTTTCACTTGGTTTAAAATCCTTTGAAATTTAGGTTTTAATGCATAGCTTCCCAGTATCACCAGTAAAGATTTCTCTTTCTTCGCTAAAGTGCTGTGTAGTATTATTGGGCCCTGTTTTAAGGTGGGGTAGTAGGTGCTAGATGAGGTTGCATTTCACCCACAGGCCAGGTAGTTTTTATTTCTTAACTGAGCTTTCTCTCGGGGGTGAAACACTCAGCCTGATATACAAGACATAAAAGTAAATATTAAATTAATTTTTAAAAAGCCAAGGGTACCGAAAGGGCCTACTCTTTGTCAACACCTTTCCCATGGTCCTTATTACCCTGCTAACTCCTGACTCTGTGCTCCCAATCACCATCGGTTTTTGCATTTCTTTCAAAAACACTCAAGCAAAGTCCTCTTTGATAGTGCACAGATTATACAAGTATTTGAATAAGAAAGATGGCATGTGTCCTGAAGAGTATCACCACACAAGGCCAGCAGCCTGTGAATTCACCTAAGTACTTTACAACAAAAAGAGTAACAGACTAAAGGGAAACCTCTCTGTGGTTTTCTTCTAAGCTGTGGGAGTGTCATTAATCATAAAGGATCTTGTGGATGATGACTTTCAGTTCTGAGTTCAGTCTTCAGTTTTTAAGGGAGAGGATACTTTTATTTTCATCATGGCATGAATCTACTCTGACTGTAGCTTTGGCCCTGGTCCCTATAGGAGCCTACAACATATTTTTCCCAATTCCAGATTCAAATATTAAATAAAAACAGATGTGCAAAACTAAAGGAAAATCCGCCACCAAAAACATACCCTACCCTCCACAAAACCACCAGCTTTGGGGAAAACCAAGGTCCGCTGTCCCACGTCCTTCGCCTAAACTTAGGAAAGAACAGATTCACATTGCCCCTGAACCTGTGCTCGGCTCAGGGTCCGAAGAGGCCGATGAGAAGGAGCTGAGGTCTAGAAGTTCCTGGGGTGCTCTCCACGCCCCCTCCTGGGCCATTCTTCGTCCACCCACCTGCGCAGGATCTTCTCCACATCGGCCCTGTGGTAGAGCCGGCAGAGCTCCATCAGCTGGCCCACCGTCCTCTGACTGTTCCGGAGTAAGAACTCCAGGGTGGGGCTCTGGGGCCGCTGCTCCAGGAAACACAGTTCATCGTAGGGCATGCCCCACTTGCTTGCGAAATTCCTCCAGTTTTTGACTGTGGGGTGACAGGGATCCAGCTTTATCCTGATCACGTCTAGTAAGTCCTGGTCATTGAGCAAGTCGCTGATGGTGGGGGCCAGGAGCAAGCAGGACGAACAGGTACAGTTTTCCGCGCAGGACACGTCCTTGCTTATATCTGCGGGGACAAACGATACGGTCCACGTGTCAGCAAGAGGCCCAAGAGGCGCGCTCATCTCTTCCGTGCTCTACTTTACCGCTGACAGGTTCATAGTGCCAGTGTAAGTACAACAGCGCATCTTACAGAGATATTTCAGGATATTCATTTCTACATACTCACCAATAACGTGCTCTTTATGGCCAAGGATGGCTGCTTTGCCGGAAGCGGTGGCAACATTTTATAAATCCAGTTTTCCTTTCCTTCTGAGACTGTCTGTTGCCCAGGCTGTGCATCTGTGAGACTGCTGGCCAGACGAGGGCCCTGAGGAGCAGGGCTTTCTCCGTGGGCAAACTGCCAGTCCAGGTCTGTTGGACTCTCAACCCTCACCCCTTCCAAGTTACAAGTCAGCCCTGACAGCTTCTTAATGCCAAGCACAGCATGTGAGGGTGTAAAGGATTGCACAATTCTTTAAAAGGTCTTTAAAAAAAAAAAAAATACACACACACCCAAAACTGGAATATCCACTCCATATGCGTATTTGAAAATGAGTGATAATTGATAATGCCAGAAAACTTATTTTTTAGATTTATGGCCACCTTATCATGCCTTTGCCTTTATCTCTGTTTTCTTCACCCATGGGGCTGCCTTTAAAGTGGAGCCAACGCCCTGAGGTGCGCAGCAGGTGGGACGAGTGGGTGGCTTTGAGCTCAGCCTCAGCAAGAGCAGCCCCAGCGCGGAGGAAGGACGACCATCGGTCATCTTCGGCCTCATGCAGTACCCGGCAGCATGTTAGCAGGAGGGTGAAGTTAGTAGGTAAGTGGTGAGTAGGTCAGAGGTCAGAGGTTAGTAGGTAAGAGGCAAACCAGTTATAGTAAAATTGTAAGCAGGGTCTGTACAGCATGGCAACCCAAGCGACTTAAAATATGCAACAGCACTGGGTCTCCTGACCCTTCTGACCGGGGACATTAACAGCCAAAGGTGACACTAGAGATCACTGGCTTGGAAGATTCTGGGAGGTTATGATGACCTTTTCTACACTGAGCCGTGTGGACTTCCCAATTTAGGTAAGTAAAGAATTCAGAAAAAGGGACTCACTTTGGTGACTGTAAAATTGAGAACCAGCAATTTTGAGGCAAGCACACAGTAACAGATAACAAGAGCCGTGAAAATTATGTTCATTCTCTTTGACCTACTAATGTAACTTCTGAGAATCCAGCCTAAGGAGATCATCTAGAATATGTATATACACGAACATTTTAATTACAGTTTATTCATATTATCCATTTTTTTAAAAACAGTTTAAAAAGTTAGGGGACTAGTGGAATAAATTATTGTACTACTCGATATTATTTAAGTAATTATGAAGACTACATAGCAAACTAGAAAATGTTTGTGCTCTCACATTAACTGGAAAACGCAAGATGTGAGCAATTTATGCACTCATTACAACTATGGAAAAAGTCTCTTAATATTACTATGGAAGGAAATGCACAAAAATAATAACAGCTGTTGTGGTTAATGTGGTAGGATTATGTTTCTATTTTCCAAACTTTATCTAGTGGTGGTGTATTTCTATGATAACTAAAACAATGTATCACATTAATAAATATATTGTTTAGCACAGAGAAGGCTTAGCAGTGGAGTGACCCTCCTCTTTGTCAAGCTTCACTTACGCCTTACTTCTTTCCCCATGATTTGTTTCATCAAATCTCTCCTTTCCTTCCCCTCATCTCCAGCCACCCAACTCTACTGACTCTCTTTCCTTCATCTACAAATATGCACAGGGCTCCTCTATCATAAAAAATAAGAACCTCAAACTGCCCTCCTCTGGCTTCAAAACTCACTGAAGTGACTTTCTCTTAACTCTAATTTACTGTTTTTATAAAATGTATCTATTTATTATTATTCTTTTGGCCACACCACACGGCACGTGGGATCTTAGTTCCCTGAGCAGGGATCGAACCCGTGGCCCCTGCAGTGGAAGCGTGGAGTCTTAACCATCCGCCAGGTAAGCCCCAATTTACTATTAAACTTCTAGAAGGAGACTTCAAAACCTGTTGCTTCCAATGCCTCATCATGTTCTTAATCTTCACCTTCTTTGGCTTTGAGCAGCATCTGACCCAGCCTAGTTCTTGCCAAACCCTGTAGAGACTGGACCCAGTTCCCTA